ATCACATGGAGGAGTAAAAAGATAGCATGAGCTATGGTCCACAAACATGGGGAAAACCTCAGCTAAATTTAGCCAGGAAAGAAAGAAGGTGGAGGCTGGTTTCAGACTAACATGGCCCTGGGGCTCTAAGGCTCAGTTTAACTGCCAGTGCAAGCCCATGCTGGGTGTCCTTTCCATATGGCAAAGGGCAACGTGGGGAGAAGAGGCAAAGGGTGTCATAAGCAGGGCGTCAGCATGATGAGCCAGTACCCACTAGCCAGGCAGGAGACAGGGCTTTCTGCTACGCCAGGGCTTGCCCCCATCCTCCAGTTCGCAGGTGCCAGCCTGTCGTAACGAGGCCAGGGATGCAGTTCCTGTCCTTTGCCTGCCTTGCCTGCTCAGCCAGAGCTGCCTGGAATGTGCCATGCCCGCAGAGACAGGGGACAGTGCTTCCCATCCCAGCTCAAAACGTCTGCATGCTCCCACCAGCCAGTGGACATGGTGGCAATGGCAGCAGATGATGGAGAAGGAGATGGAGGGCAGGCAGTGCCTCTCCTCACCAAACCTCCCTGCAGAGGGGTAATACCCTTGGTGAAAGAGAGATTTGGTGTCTCGATCCATGTGGTGAGTTTTAATGGACTGCTTTGCCTATGCAGCTGTGGTTGGAAATACTCAAGCCACCCAGCTGGGCCTGCTTCCTAAAAGCAAGTTACTTTTGCCTTGTTAGGCTTTTACATCGAGTGTCACTTCAGCTTCTCCAGCAAGCAGGTTTCCAAGCAGTCAGGAGCGCCTGGAACAACCTGTTTCAATTAGCATTTTACTTATTTATGGAGCTGGTGCTACATCCAATGCCTGCAGGTTGCAAGGGAGCCTCCCAGCTCCCTCGCACCAGCTGTGGAGAGCACTGTGGGTCAGGGTGCAACGGGATTATGCAGGGAAGTGCCCAGACTCACCTACTTTATTTCAAGAATGATTCTGGAGATTCTGTGTACCATAGCAGAGCTCCAGCTTGGTGTGGATCACCTAGCTCTGCCAGCTCTAGCTGTAGCACCACTAGCTCCAGCTCTTGGGTCACCTAAGTGGACTAAAAGCAGGTTTATATGGTGGGGTGGTAAAAATCCCACCCATGCACCCATGTCCCATCTACTGTAGAGCACCAGCTGTGCAACGCAGCTCAGCTCAGACAACACTCCATGTTGCAGCCAGCAGCAACTGAAGTGGCACAGTGTGGAGCAATGCCTTGAAAGACCAGGACTCAGAGTAAACCGCAGCCACCCATCGCAACAGGGTGAGTTGCTTGTCTTCACCACCACTGGAAACAGGGAGGGAATTGTTCTGCCTTTCCACAGAGAGGTGGGGAAGCCTCCAGGATCTTCCAGCAGCACATTGCTTTTGTTGTGCAAGCCTCAGTCCAGCCAGACTGGACAAGTACCCTCACTGCAAGATCCAGATGCCCTTGGAGGCATCCTCAACAGAGACACTCAGGAGGGACTGCTCTGTAGGGCTGCCTCCCTGCACTGCAAAGTGCTGCTTCATCCAGGCAAGTGTATCTGGGGCAGGCAGCAGCAGAGAAATGGCTCATGCTGAGGCTGAACATCCAAACCTGACACAGGTGCTCTGCAGGACCACCACATGCCAGCACCCACGCCAGGCAACCTTTCTGTAGGGAAACGCATACTTATTCTGCTGTTCCTGACCTCCAAAGCACCCAAGAAACATGAGCTGCCTCACAACACTGTCGCAGTGGACAGATGCTCCAGAACTGCTAACCTCTTTCCATAGTTTAGCATCCTCCTTGTCAAATCTATCCCATCTCCTCCTCAGCAAGGAGCAACATAAATAATCTTTGGTCACCCCATCTGCTCCTGATCCTGCAGCTCTCCCTGGAGATTTGCCGCCATCTCAATTGGGCTGCAAACTCCCTGGGCAGGAGCCAGTTTTGCTGCCTGTTGGTTAAAAGCCACATGCACCTCTGTGCCATCATAAAGTCTGCTAAAAGGCACCATGACCTGAGCACAAGGTCACTGCCTGGGGAAGCCATTATGAGAATTTCTGCTCTCAGTGAAAGCTCATCACGTGAAATGGGCTGAAAGGACTCTCCAGCTTGCCCTGGGGAGATGATGGACCACCCACACCATGAGCAGGATAAAGGCAAATGAGATCTTAGGAGATGGCAGACAAAGTGCTTCCAGCATGTGCCAGAGCATGTGAAAGGAAGGACTCACAGAGACCACAAGAAGGGAGAGCCCTTCACCACCAGAAGAGTTTGGCTTGTAGAGCCTGGTGATGGAAAAGCTAAGTGCGGATGTGACTGCAGTCTATAAATACACCCAGGGAAAACACCAGGGAGGGAAAAGCACCATTTAAACTGAAGGGCACAAGAGCACAACAGCAAAAAAGCAAACAGATAAAAACACAGCCACAAATTGATTTATGGTGGAAGGCCCTGACTGTTAGAGCTGTTGAACCCTCTCCCAGAGGGAGTGAGAAGGGCAAAAAACCCATGAACTAGTCTTTTTGCAGCAAAGTTAAACCAATTTATGGGAAGGGCCATAAAGGGTTTGATGCTTGTGACATGCTGATAGGACTTCAGTGCCCACAAGGACCACTCCTGGTCTCTAGTTAAAAAAAATGACCAAAACCCCAACTAAATATCTGGGGTGAGCTTGTGGCTCCCCAGCTTTGTGGAGGGGGAGATGCTCAGGAGGACAGACAAGACCAAGCTGGTGAAAAAGCAGAAGGAACTTGTATTTTTGGAGGGAAGAGGTGCACACACAGCCTTACACCACAGTGGCTAAGCCAGCCTCACTTGCGGGACCACTGACCCAGAGCACATCCAGCTCCTTCAAAAGGACTTTTAATTTCCACAGCCAAGTGAAGCCCTTTCCTCTGCCAAGGTCAGATAGTATTTTGCCAATTATTAGGCCTAGCATAAAGGACACAGCCAGCATAAAGATGAACCAATAACCAAATTGTATCTGATACAAAAGGGTCAGTACATGGGTGAGCGCTGAGGGTACAAACAAGTCAGATTATACATAATTGACATCAATCCCACTGACCCCAACAACAACACTGCACAACCAACAATAGGTGGAATAAATGGTGAAATGCAGTCTCCCATAGGAGGGCCAGGAGACAATTGAGTCAACAAGCCAAATACATAAGACCAAGGAAGATACATACTGAATCTCTACAGAGCCCACATTTACAAAAGCCAGACCTAACTGGAGCCCAGTTCCAGGGAGGCAGGAGGTCCTTCCCCAGCAGGAAACTCTGCAAAGTACATCCACCTCACAAATAGACACTTCACTCTTCCTGCAAGTGGTCCCAGCTTTTATCCCTAAGTGGGACACCTGACCTTTGGTTACTTAATGTGGGACACCTGGGGCTCCTTTACCTAATGGCTCTCCCTGCAAGGGCCGAACCCTGGAGGGAAGCTTAAAGTAAACTCACCACCCCTTTGTGAAGGGCTGTGGGAATCACCCATATGTCACCCTTAATTTGGGGCTTGAGGTTGAAACCCCAGCATTTCAGATAGGTAAGGGGAAACAACATGGGGTCCCGAGGAGATGCCAGTTCCCAGGAAGCAGCCCTTGACTAGGGAGACCTTACAGGGTGTGTTGATGGGCTTGGCAAACAAGCCGACAGTGTCTGAGGCACTGTGAAGCAGAGTAGCTGCCTAATTAAAAAATAAACATATTTCCTGTTCTCTCTCTCACCTGGCACCTCTAGGAAGCCAAAAATCCCGCAGTGCTCAGATGAAGGGGAAAAAAAACCCCACCAGACTGAAAAGCAGAGAGAGGAAATTCTGCCACAGAGATAAGCGATGGGAGAGCCTTTTGTAGATCACATCACGTCCATCATCCCTAGGCACACAGGCTGGCCCCACTCCACCCGCCCAGGACGGAGGGGGTACACATACCCCTCACCCAGTGCCAGCCCCGGCACAGCCTGTCCCCTCCCACTCCCGGCGTGATGTGCTGTACCGTAAACAAGCTTGGGCAGATGGACCGATGGACAGACCTCCAGCATTAACCACGTCCTCAGCAGTCTAGGGGCTCCCAGAGGGGACATCACCCACCCACCCAGCCGGGAGCATAAGGGCTGCCTCCCCACCGCCAGCAGCAAGTGGGACATCTTCCCTTTCCCTCCTCGTTTCCCCGCCTGGCACTGCTTTTATTTTATTTTCCTAAAGCCAGCCTGATGCCTCTCCTCCCAGCTCCGGTGCGCATGTGTCTCTTCCGCTCTCTCTCCCTGCCCTCCCTTCCCCTTCTCCCAGCCGAGACCTCAATCTCTCCCCCGCTGGCTCGGTACTGCAGCTCTCGCTCCCTTAATCCCAATGACCTTCTTGCACATACAGACACGCCAGCCCCAAGGGCCGCCATGGGATCGGTGTCACGGGAAGAGGAAGAGACCCCCCCCCGGCACCCCACACCCTCCTTA